ATTTATTGTATTAACTTAATAGCTCTTTTTCTATTTCTTTCTCTATAGGAGACACCGTCTCTGCGTACATCTCTTTTATTGGCTGGAGATCCACCTGTTTCTTGTAGTTTCTTATGAATATAAGCACCACTTTGTTCCATGCTAAGAATCTTTGCTCTGCTATCTCTGGCCCGTCTAGTATATATTCGTACACAACATCGACTGTTTCTTGTTTAAATTGGATGTTTTTTATGAGTATTGCTGTAAGTAGCGTGTACACTGAATGTGTTCTCTGCAGGGCAAGGATGCTTAGGAGCATCTCTTCCATATAAACTCTTTCTGGCGTGCTTTTCATCAGCACTCTGCTGATTATTAGAGAGACAGTATTTGTCATTCCTTCTTCGCAAATCGGTTTAATCACGTCTGCAAAATATGCATTGGTGCAGCGAGAGAGTATCTGTATGTGTGCCCTGAACAGAGAGCATTCTAGCTTTTTGTTTTTATGAATGTACTCCATGCTTCTGATTCTTACTTCTTCAACTACTTTTCTTTTCACGCTGTAGTAGGATGTGGGATACCCTAGCACTCTATCTACTATTTCTTTAAGAACCTTGGGCTGTGCTTTCTTTATGTCTATAAGAGAAAGAATTTCTAAATACTCTTCCGGGCTCTTGGGAGTTATAGCTGAGCTTTTCGAGTGTAGTCTGAAGATCGATGGCATCACTCCCATTTCTAGCTGCTCTTCTATCCCTTCTATTTCATCCGTGTGTCTGTTCAGTCTGTCGTAAAAGCTATTTCCGCTAGACAGCTCTTCAAGCACTTTTTGTCCTATTCCCATCGAGTGCAATATTTTTTTTGGAAATGAAGAATAAATATTTTATTTTTTAGTACCCAGCAATGGAAGTAGGAGCAGAGCCAGTATTAGCACAAGTATCAGAAATACTATACAGAACAGGAACAGGAGGAAGCTGCCAGCTTGTAAAAGTAACCATAGAGTCAACAGGAAGAAACTTAACAAGAATCATAGAAGGACCAGTACAAATGGGAGATCGTGTTTATTTGCTAGAGGCAGAAAGAGATCTTAAGATGAGCAGACGCTAATAAATAAATATACAATTATTCTACCAATGCGCCAGCACATTAGCAGAACTGCCACTGCTTGGCTTCTTATTACTTCTTTACTAGCTGCTTTGTTTCCAAATTAAATACATTACTCCTTAGACATTCATACTGACTGCACTATTTCTCTTTAGAAGGCCAAGCCAATGCTATTTCTGCACAAAAAGACAAATTAATGTTATTGCTAAAGAAGAACATATTAAAAAGTCTAATAGACCCATAAACAGCAATAGTGCCATACTTGGCCATATAGCCATCTTTCTTGGACTACTCTATCTTCTTATTATGGTGATTCTATGAAGGAACTACACAACATCTGATGTAAAAGTCGATGAGTGAACTGGTCTGAAGATAATGTGATGCTTTATTAGTTACAGACTTGCAATGCCGGTTGTAGGATGTTTACTGTGCATCTTGGCGACTTGTGTCAGTGTGTTTACTATCTAGATATCCTTGTCTTCTTTATTTTCTGAGTGCATTGTATTCATGTCTGCACGCTTATCCAAAAAATAAATGTATTTATGCTTGTTTTTGTGATGGTTGCAAATTTGACATATGAATTATGATTAATTTACGACAACACCATTATCTTATTATACTCTTTATCTGCTGTATTTCTGTCTTATACCTGTCGTCCACCAGCGGAAGATACTTTGTCCGTATATACTCCAATATTTTGCCCCATGAGTTATTGAACACTGTGCCCATGGCCCCATTTAAAGAGTCAAGGAAGACAAGGAGCACTGAAGGATTGAACGTGCTATTTATTTCTTCTATGTAGTTCAAAAGAGAAGAGATAAACAACCAGGCTTCATTCAAATTTTCAGTGTTTTTCAGGAACACAAAATACACCCGATACATCCCCAAGAGACAGTCCAAAGGCAGCATAGAAGAGTACATAATGTATTTATACCTCTCTAGTATATCTCCTATCTCATGAGATAGATACGATAAGAGATAGGCGTATCCCACCGCTGACTCTTTATTCGTTGAAACCTGTGCCTTTATCTGTTCTACCAGCCTTCTTATTATGAGGACGGTGTATGCTCCCGTTTTGTCTTGTGTTATTTTTTGGTTTTTATACGATATTATTACATGCGCTATCATTTCTGTTTTTTCTCTGGTGTTGTTCACCTGAGAGAGTCTTTTGTTCAGGAGAAGAATTGCCTCTGTTTTTTCTTCTGGCGATAGTTTATTGGACGGGTCTTTGTGTTTGCCTAGCTCATCTGCGATGTGCTCAGATACAACAAGCAGCTGTTTCAGTGATTTATTGTGCTCCTCTTTTATTTTTGCTGTTTCTTCTATTTGTATGTACTCCGATATCCTGCCCGAAAGAGACTCTTTTTCTTTGCTTATTTTGGAAAGTATTCTTGTTATTCTCTCCAGCGCATTCATTGAAAAATATTTAATGAAGAGGATGCTTTTGCTTTTGCTGCTCAGAAAAGTGCTTTTCTGCCAGGAGATAACAAGAAGCAAAGAAGAGCCGGAGGAAGACAGGATGGTAATATTTGAGCACGCAGGAGTGATGAAAATATACGATCTAAGGGAACAAGAGATAGTTGAAGAAATAGTGTCTCATGCGGCCATACAGGATAAAAATAGAGAACAAAAAAGAGAAGTGAATCTACAGAGTATTGGAAATAAAAGGATAACTTACAATGAGATGAGTGAAACAAAAAGTGGCAGCAAAGAGATCAGTAGAGGAGTCAATGAAAATAGCAACGGAGTGATGAGTGTTAGCAGCGCCAGCAGCAATGGGATAGGAAGTGGTATTATTTTTAGCTCGAATTCTACTAATACTTTGATGAAAAAAGATAATTCAACGAGCAATAATGCAAGCTCTGTAAGCAGTCTAATGAAAAGCTTAGCGGATAATGGTAATGTAGCAGCCAGTGGTGTTATTTTTGGTGATAGTCTGCCAAATCTCTTGGCAAACAATGCTCCTTCTATTGGCTATTCATCTAGTAGAAATGACTCACTTCCTACTGCCATTGTTTCTAACGGAATGGTTGTATCTCGTGATAAAAGGATAGCTGTGGAGTATATTGCTTCCGCTGCGGGTGTAATTGTTTTTGTGTACAATGAAACAGTTAGTAGAGTCTTCAGGCCATCGGGCATCTTGGAGAGCGTTGAAAAAAAGATTACCTCGATACTCCATAGGACGAGAATAGACAGAACACATGCACACCACAAAATAGTAAAGACACTGCTGAATAAATATAAAACAGACCTATACATATTAAAAAAGATAGATGGTTTATTTTATTTTTCAGAAATATTCCTATCAGAGATAAAAGAAACACACAGAAAAAGGATATTGAAGTGCTTAGATTACTCTCTATACGCCTCTCTATTTATTCTTATGCTATCTCTTCTCTCTCCCATGATAATAAGAATAGTAGGATATAAAGACACTCCCATCACTTTGCTACTTGGAAAATGCACAGGGCCTTTAAGAAAGGGTTTTCTATTCGGTAAAAAAAGGGTAAAAGTACTGGTTCTCCATAAGAATGTAGAGAAAGAGAAGAGAAAATGTGAAAATATAATGATGCTTCGTGAGCACAATGCACAAGATGGCTCGATACACACTGAAGAAACAGAAGAACACTGCTATATCGCGTATTCCTTTGACACGGTATCACTGAGCGAGTTTACAGAGATGAAAGTCTCGCAGGAGACCATAAGAACAGTGGGAAAAGAAATAATTAATTCCATACTGCATCTGTATACCGAAGGATTTGTACACTTTACTTTTTCAATGGAAAATATTCTCATAAATACACACACAAATAGAATAGTCCTGTTGGGAGTAGAGGGAATGGCTTATTGTGCAGCAGATAGCAAAAGACCATCTAAGTTTACCATGAACAGTGACAAGTTAGGCAGTGTTCTAACTGATAATACTAACCTATCTGGTTCTACAATGGACAACAGCGCTAATTTAACTGAAAATGGCAATTGTGCACACAATCTAGCTGTATATAGGCCTAAATTGTTCGCTGATTATGTTTCTCTTGGCGAAGTGTTCTATGGTATGCACAAAGATACTCTTAATGAAATGAGCATGTTCAAAAATAAGTCATTTTCTGAATCAAACGATGCAATATGCGCATATAACTATAGAAAGCATCCGCAGTTCATAATAGGAGCAGAGACAAAGTACCAAATAGAGCTACTCGATTGGATTGCATCGCTGCTATCTAGCGAGCCCTTTGATGGCTCTATCATCCATCCTTTTTTCTGGACTAATGCGCAGTCTTTGGAGTTCTTATCCCTGCTAAGCGATTTTATATTCGATAATCCCGAGGGCCTTATCTTGGAAAGCAGCTCAATCGTTCTTTCTTCCGTTATGGACCTGTCTAACTGGGATGTGTATTTAGATGTATCGCTGCTCACGCATTTGACAAGAGGAGGAAGATACTACTACAACACCAAGGTGCTCAGAGATCTATTTCGGTTGATAAGAAACAATGGGAGACACTTTCAGTCCATTCCAGAAGAAGGAAGGCTGTATTTCAACAACGAAGTGTCTAACTACTCCGAATACTTCTTGACCAAGTACCCGCAGATCACTCTCCTCTCCTACTATGTCGCCCAAGAGTATTCCCTTCTGGACCATAAAATATTTTCAGAAATATTCAAACGTAAAAATATTTAATGCGATTCACATGCCACCAGATGCAATTTCTTAGCACAGAGCACTTTCGAGCCCTTCTGGCTGTGGAAATGGGCAGTAAGAACCATGAGTCGGTGCCCATTGATCTTATTACTAAGATAGCGAAGATAAACAAGAGCATTGAAAGCATCGTGACAGACTTGGTGCGACAAAACTTCATCAAGAGAATACCCAGCATAGACACGGGATACGAAGGGTATGCGCTAACATACACAGGCTACGACAACCTAGCACTCTACGCCCTGCAGAAAGAGGGGGTAATCGAGGGAGTGGCGAATAAAATAGGCGTGGGGAAAGAGTCAGACGTGTACCTGGGAATATCTCCGGAGAAAAAGCTGCTCTGCATTAAAATCCACAGACTAGGCAGAGTGTGCTTTAAAACCGTGAAGAAAAACAGAGACTACCACCAAGATCGAAAATACACGTCTTGGATGTACCTATCGAGACTGTCGGCACAGAAGGAGTACGAATACATGAAAGAAATGTACGAGAAAAGACTCCCCATGCCTAGACCGCATGCGCAGAACAGACACATTGTGGTAATGGATTATTTAGAAGACTACACCACGCTGTCAAAAATACAAAAATCCTCCAAAATTGTACCCATACAAATGAAGAGCACTTTGCTATCGATAATCGACAGGATAGAAGAGCTGGGGTATGTCCACGGAGACTTTAACGAGTTCAACATAATGGTGAGAAACGACTTTAAGAAAGTAAAAATAATAGACTTCCCCCAGATGATCACAACAAAAGACCCAAAGGCACAGGAGTACCTGAAAAGAGACAGGGAGGGAGTGGAAACATACTTCCAGAACTTCTGAGCCACTAAGAGATGGAATGAAAAAGTAAAATATTCAGAGAAGGGACAGGGAAAGAGAATTGGAGAATAAGAAAATAGAGAGTAAAAACAAAAGAGTAATCCAAGAAAAAGAGAGGACTAGAAGAAAGTAGAGATAAAAAATAAATTATTGGCATTATTATAGAACTTATTATCCATATCCTCTTACAACAGCATCTTTATCAGCTAGTAGCTATTCTTATCCTTCTTCTACTACTGGACAGAATTTGCACGAGAATAAGCTATTTTTATTACTGGATTTATAACCAAAAGAAAAGAAAAATAAACACAATCTCTTCGACTTTATTATAATATTATGTGGAGTGCTAACTGTTTTGTGCTGCTATAATAAACAGCAGATGCTTTTCGGAATATTTTAACAGCAACAGAAGTAAATGCGAGTAATTTATTCTGAATAGGTTGTTTTGTTTTGTTTTTTATAGGGCTTGATCTCTTTTCTGTTTGTGCTGTAGCTTTTATTCTGTATTCTATCTTGCATAAATGACCTGCCTGTGCCCCACGGGATATCCACTACTTTGCCGCTTTCCCAGATCGACTCGTTCTTTTTCTGCGGAGACGAAGATGTTTTTATGAAAAAACTGTTTCTTATGGCAGTTGTGGGGTCAAAGCTCCTGGCTTCCACGTTAAGCTTCTTTGTAGGCTGTTTCTTTGCTGCTTTGCTTATCTCATCTTCTTTTTCGCTGTCAGGTTTGTCCCAGAATACTCTGTCCCGGAATGAGCCAGTCGATCCATCTTTATTGAAATAATATCCACTTTTTACGTCTATTCCCTTTGCTGGCTTGTTCTCCTGTTCTTGTTTCTCGGAAAGAGATGTCTTTGATCTACCGCTATTCTTATTAATATTCTTGTCTTTATCGGCTGTCTTGACTTCAGGTTTGGCTGTTTTATCCTTCTGTTTTGCTTCTTCACTGGTGTTAGCCACATCTGCTG